CCACCGCCCGCTCAACCCCACGTTCCCATCCGCCCTGGAGAAGACCCGGGCACGCAGCACTGGCCTGGCCGTCTCCCCGCTGCAACAGTCGCAGCGTTCCGCAACAGTAACCGCTCCGTTCCACCTGCCTCAGGACCGGGATGGGCTTTCCCCCCCTCTATTCCTGGGGGATTCCCGGCGATCCCGGCACGCCGTTCCCAGGCGGTGGCGGGGCGGGCGCGGGACACAAGATGGCGGCCGCGAGCCTCGGCCGCGCGCGGGGCGGGGCGGGACGAAGATGGCGGCGGGAGGCGGAGCGGTGATGGCGGCGGGAGGCGGAGCGGCCCTCACGGGCCGGGAAAGCCGCGGGCTTACAACTGGCGGCCACAGCTGCCTCGGGAAGGGCTGCCCATGTCGTGCGGGAGTACCGTGACTGGAGGGGACTCCCAGAAAAACGCCATTTCTCCGTGATAATAAAAGCTTTATGTCAGTTTTACCTCAGGCTTACAAGCGCTGAGGGAGGGGATGAGGTCACAGCGAACGCTCGTGAAGTAAAGCGATTTATCGGGCGGGGGAAGAACACGCACAGAAGGCCTTTGCAGGTTATTTATCGGTGTTTGTGGAGGTTTCCTGTTTAGGTTTCTGCCCAGCAGCAGCGGGTGCGGGAGCTCACGGTGCACAGCCTCCGGCACACCCGGCCACTGACCCGCCTCCACAGCTCTCTAATGGTGTTCTTCAGCACTGCTATTGAATTACAGTGTCTATCCGGTGCCACTTAACTCTTACGAGAAAAACAAACATATAACGAGTAGGAAACAGTTTTCTGCATTAAGCCATGATGAGCTGCGCCTTAAGCAGAGTTGGGGAGCCACCATTCCCTGGGGGTTTATCCCAGATTTTGCATCATCACTCCAATACATTTGCTCTCTGCACACTCCCTGTTTCCTCAGCTCTCTGGGGTCTCAGCTGGGAGCAATTACAGCACAGCCATGGTTCATCCAACATGATCCTTTGTGCCATAGCCCGGGCAGTGGCCGGGAAGTTGAGGCGTTGGGTCTCCGGTGTCGCCTCCGTCCCTGTTTACCCCGAGCTCCCGGGATGGAGCCCGGCCAGCTGGCCCCACGCTATCGGGGCGTGGGCCGGAGAGCAGCACCGATAACCCCTGAGCTGGCTCTGGCACCCTGCTCTCAAAAACCGTGCGATCCAAGGTGCTCTGGAGACCTCGGGCCCGCTGGCGAGTTCAGCCAAAACTTCGCTTGAACCCTTGGGGTGACACTGACAGAGGGACGGAAAGAAAACACAGGAATATAAACATTATCTTTTTAATGAAATCAGACCAAAAGTAGATGCAAAGGAGGAAAGACAAAAAAGCCCCCCTATTTGGAGCCATAGATGCTGACACTGTGTGCCCTCGTTTGCTGAGGAAATAGCTAATTTACTGCACAAGCTGCTTTTAGTGTAAGAAAAATCCATTTTGTCCTAATCTTTTTTGTGAGTCATATAAATACTGTAAACATAGAAACAAGAAACAAAACAATGCAATTATTTCCTCTCAGCCAGTCTGAGATATGCTTAGAAACCAAAGATTGAAGTTATTATTCACATACCCTAAAAAAATGAAGGTTCCAAATGCCTTAGACTGGGTAATTCAGATACAGGTTTTCCTTCATCAACATAGGCACATAGCATTTTTTAATTAACAAAAATAACTTATGCAGTGTTTCATTTGAAGACAGCGTAAACACTCCAGCTACAGAGAGATAATGGATAAACATGTTTTAGTTTTAAAAAAATTGCTGATAGAAAGAGTTCACCAGTTTTTTAGTTTAGTTCAGAATTAATTCAGCAAGAGTTGTTCCTTTTCAATGAGCTCAAGTCTGACAGCCCTAGCTTAAATTTAGCAGTTAAAGTCTTCCTCAACCTGCATGAACACTTCAGAATTATTACATAAGAAATGTTAGATTTAATATCCATGTAGAACAGTTAACATTAACCCCTTGCAATTTCTTTATTGCGTGCATTTATTTTTTTTTTACAGTTAACCGAGATAAAAAAAAACCAAACATCTTTCTGTGCATCCTTAGAGGCTGCAGTTTGACTGGGAGCAGAGTACTGTGCACTTCTCTCCTCTCCACAGGCCCTGGGGCTGTGTCAGAATTTCTCCTGCTCGCTGTTTCCAGAAGCATTTCTGGAGGGCGGAGAGTGTCTAATTTTAGTTCTCGGAGAATCCTCCGCTCTCCAATGGGCGAGCGGCTGCATCTGGAGCTGCAGCCAATTACCAGGGGTTTCCTCCTGCTACACTTCCCACGATGGTTTAATAATGCAGACGTACAAATTTAAAGTGGCCCCACACATTAAGAGAAAATCATGTGTTCCCCAACAAAGACACGTCTTTTTGCACCAGCAGAACCTTAAAGCTTTCTTTTAAAGCCTTGGATGCCATAAACCTGTCCTTAAAACTCTGTGTTAATAAATTATGTTTACTGTCTTTATAGTGCTTGAAAAAATACTTCTGATAACTGAAAGGCTGGTCTGAAGCATCTTCCCTAACTTCTGGAGGTCAGGGATGTGGTTTTAAGAAAAGAAAAAAACAAACAAAAAAACAAAAGTAAAATTATAATTACAATGCGATGAACCTTTGCAGTTCTGAATACTCTGGGCATAGCTTGGCTGCTGTATCTTATCTGTTAAGCGGTTTAACAAGCCTTAGTTGTCTCACTTATTTTTAGCTGGCATGGAATATAACAACATGGAAAGACTGTGGGCTGCAGGTGCATTTAAATCCTAGCAACAACAGATAAATAACTTTTTCAGGAAAACTATTATTTCAGAGCTTTTTACTGCAAGAAGGTGCAGAGCAAAAACTAACATCTTGTAGACTGTTAAAAAAGGAAGAAAAACAGAATGATGAAAATAACAGAGTGAAGAAAAGCTAAAGAAATAATCCCAACTAGTAGCCTTGATTAAAAATGAACCTTGCACATCTTTTAGCTTTATTTGCATTTTGATGTTAAGTACAGAAATGTGTTTGCTTCAGCAGCAATGTCCTAACTATACATTTACCACACACAACTTTCATTCACCACCGACTCTTTTGTCCTTTCTTTTCATGATGAACTGTCATACCTACCCACAGAACCAGCTTACCTTCCCCACTTGCTTCATCCATGCTTGCTCTTGCAGTGCAAAGTGTCTCTGACGGAAATCCTGTGACCGAGCCAACTTCCTCTCCTGCACGTCTGCTCTCTCCTCCATTTCTGCCTCCTCACAGCTAAACAATTCTCCTTCTGCAGCTCCTCTGCACTCCTGTAATCCTACTGAGCTTTCCATTGCTGCTGATTAACCCTTGTCAGGCCTTCCTTTCTGCTGTCCTCTGCTTGTTATCTCACCGTTTTCTTTAAAGATAAAAGTAATAAGTTAGTCTCTTGCTGCTTCCTCTGTCTACAAGTCTCTAAGTGGCAATAACAAAAGCTTATCTACACGTCTTCTGGAACTCCATCACTTGCCTCGTTAACTTCACTCTATATCATTTCCTGATCTTCCCAACACCTACTCCTTCATTTGCTCACAGCTTTACTTGTTCAGTCTGCTCTGACCCCCAGCACCCACACAGATATGCTTGTCTCTTTACCTTAAAAAAAAAAAAAAGTTCCCTTCAAACTTGGTTTTGCTTCCTCTCATCATCTGAAAGCTTCTCAATCCATCTTAAACCGCTCTCGTTTGCCCTTCATTCGCATTTAGCGTACCTAGATTGTGCCCTAGCTTAGTTTTTGCAGTTATTCTCACCTATTTCAGCTGGTTCAGCTTGGCTTGTCAGTCCTTTCTCTTGTTTTTCTTTCCCTTTTCTGCAGTGGTGAGTGCCATTTTTGACTCTCCTCCCTTCTCTCCAAGCTCACATCCCAATGGCAAGTGTGGGTGGGATTGCCTCTCAACACTGCCTCCCAACTTCAGGTGTCTCTGTTGCAATTCAAATCTGGGTAATGAGAGTGTGTTAGACAAACCATCTGCCTGAAACTCAACCCCTTTTCACTGAGTGATTTTACAGCCAGCTGAGGAAAGGAGTGAGAACCTTACAAATGTGGTTTGGGCTCAGATTGGTTTGAACTGCTGGGGAAGAGTCAGCCAAGACATGGTCTTTGTTATTCATTGATGTGACTGGGGATTGTGCTCGAGCTCTCCTCATCTCAGTTATTGATGACAACCTTTTCTCTGGCCTCAGCAGATAAAGCATTTGCTTCCATTCAGAAAGCCCTGCAAGGCCTTTTCCTTAGTTATTCAGTAACTATGTTAGTTTCCCACACCTTTCCAAAGAGCGGGGTCTCTATCACACACAAACCTGTTATTCTTCAGTTCCAAGCTCAGTCATGCACTGATCTGGTTCTAGGTACCTTTTGTTTCACTCTGTAAAGGTATCTTCTGTGTCCTGGCCCTACAACTGAATTCCACTACTGCCCTTTCAAGTAAACACCTTCCTGCTTTATCCCACGTTGTAGCTCAGGATGAGCTCCTGTTGAACACCTGTAGAGGTTGGCATTGACAATTTGTTTCCTATAAAGCTCCTCCTCATCTGTATACAGACATTCTGTACAGATACTGCATATTGCTATTAGGCTTCTACCTAAACTTTTGGATCAGAAACACTTGCAGGCATTTGCTGCTTCATTGTTCTACATAATGTTTAACATAATACTGGCGTGGATTACCCCTGAGGCCTCTAAGCTCAGGGATAAGTACCCACTGTGATCCCATCCATGATGAAGAAATGAGTGTATGAATAAACCAATAAAAATATTTTATCTAATGAATTACAATAGTCAATCAGTTTAAAAAGGCTTTTTTTTTTAAAGTCAGTGCCTCCTCAAGGGCATCTTCTCTTCATCTCAGTTCTATGTTGCATAAGGAATCTTTTTTGCCATTCTTATTTTTAGCACTTACCTTCAGCCCTACCACTGGGGTTACTCGCATAGTTCTTATTATTAATAAAATGTATTTATTTATGCTGTGTAAAGACTAAGACAGAAGCTTTCTATAGCATCTGTTCTATAGCATCTGTAATTGGTATAGAACAGGCAGTTTGTGGCCTGAGATGCTTACAATTAATTTAGACAAGACAGACACAGGGATTGAAGATTCAAGGAAGTGAATGATGTTTGTTCTCTTTTTTTTTTTTTAAGAAGAGGGGACCTAGAAAAATCAACACAGTGGAAATAATGGGAAAATGGAGAGGATGAAGGGAAGGAGGCAATGAAGACAGGTATGGCACAAAACTGGTATGAACAGTTTTCAAGGCAGGGCTTGGCATACACTGCAAGTTTGATAGAACAGCAAAATTAGGCCTAAGATCAGAAAGTCCATATGCAAGTAAAATTCAATTGAAATTCAGGCATTACCATGAATAGTAATTACAGGATTAAAAAATGGCAAACAGTGATAGTTTTTTTTTTTCCTCAGTGGTAAATGTGTCAGGTAAGGAGAATTACCACCCAAGAAGGTATGTGTGTACTTTTCTTTGATTAACCACAGGTTTTGAGTGGGGAGTGAAATGCAAGACCAAAACCCAAGTCACAGCCCTGAGGAATTTTTTTAAATTACTTGTGGCATGATGGGGCCTGGTGAGAAAAATTATAACCATAACAACCCATACTCTCAAGTTTCTCAGTCTACCATGTCTCGATGTGTAAAGAATGACTTTGTTAGTTGGGCCAGGCACAGTTTTCAAACCAGGCTGCTTAGCCAGTCTACAACCACATTGTTATCCTGGTGTTAGACAGGGGACACAGGAGGCATCAAACAGCTATTAAAATGGGATGTCTGGGAATCACAGAGAGCCCTGGGAGCTGCTGTTCGGAATTGCTAAAATGAGAGATTGAGATGGACCTGACCAGGAGAAATGGGCAGCTGGAAAAAACACAGCTTCAAAGAAAACCTTGTTAAGCAGGAACAGGAAAACACTTGCCAAAATGCCAGTGGAAGGGAAAGATGAGACAGGTTCAGCAAAGCAAGAAAGAGAACCTGGGGGGGAAAAAAAGGAGAAAAGTATGGAAAAGTCCAAATGAGATGTCAATCATTCACATCCTTAGCAAGACTGTGAAATACAAAGCAGATGTTATGGGCAGTGAATCTTCCAAGAAAATGAAGTAATAAATATATCATGAAAAGCACTCAGGTTACATCCATCAGCTGAGCCTAAACTTACCTGACAGACCCATGTAAACTGCTTCAACTTTCATTTTACTCTCAGATGCTGGTCTATAAACTTGTAACTTCAGGGCAGGTATATTCCTGCAGTCACCTGCCAGAACTGCATCCACAAAAACCTGCAAAAGAAGGTGGGCAGAGCACAAGATCAGTGGTATTCACCACTTCATCAATGCCAGCTACAGCAACCTGCAAGTATCAGTGTGGTCTGAGCTCCAGGTAATCACTTAAGCAAATGTGTGGTATTTTCCAATTAAGCAGGCTATCAGCACCATGTAAGTGAATGCAGCCAGCTGACAGACAGTGGCTGAGCTGGTTTTAATCACAAACCACACCTTTTTCGTGTAAACCTGATTGGTTTACAATCTAAGCCAAAGCTGCCTGAAGAAGTCACAAGAAGCCCTCTTGCTGGATGTGGGGTAAGCTCTTCTGAGATGGTATAACTTAGGATAAATATTTTAAGAAAAAATTATTTGCTTCTAACGTTTTATTTAAAGCTTAATACAAGAAAACTATCTAAAAATATATTCTCATAAAGATAATTATTTTTGTCAGCCAACATCTGCAACCTGTCCTGAGGACATTACAATTTTCAAGTGTACTGGTTAGGTGCTCTTTGTACTGTCTTTACTGCCCTGACCTGAGAGAATATTGTTTTATAAAGTTCAGCCTAAACTGTAATTTGTCTATGGGGTACCCTACCCTGTCAGCAGCCTATGTTGAGATAGACATCTCTGAAGTTCTGGCCTACTGTATTTAGGACAAAAAGAGCTCTAAAAGAAGGACCGCTCAGATCCCAAAACAAAGACTTAACAAAATGTATCACCACTATTTATTTTTATTCACAAGTAGCTCTGTGCACTCCTTCTGAGTTGTAACAGCACATGAAAATACCCAAGTTGAGCCACGAGACATATTTGAGAGGGTGGAGCGGGCAGTACCACGTGCACTCATTACTACGGTAAGTTAAGTAATAATTACTACTTTTTGCCCACAAGCTAAGGACTTAACTTTTATTTTCTTTAAAGATGTGGCCGTGAGCTCTGGCTGCATGTCCAGAAGCCAAGCTCCGTCCCTTTGACGTGGACAAACGGGACGTTAGGAGCTGTAAACTGTACAAGAACGTGAGCTGTGGTTACAAGTTGAGTTCTGCACTTTGCAGCCCAACTTTGCCAGGGAGGCTGACATATCCCTGGGCAAAAGGAATTAAGGGCTGGGCACGTGCTCGGCGCTCCGGCTCCCGCAGTTATGTAATATCCAACCTAAGTTTAAAAAAAAAAAAAAACAAAAAAAAAAACCAACACCAAACTCCGGTCCCTCTTGGGTTGCAGAACCAGCGGAGCTGGAAACACGAAGCAAAACCTTCTGTGTCCTGAAGCAACGACCGACTCCGTGCACAGAGCGCACCTCGAGCTGGAGCGGCGGGCACTGGGAGTGAGCGCAGCACTCCCCTCACGGCCGGATGAGCACAGCGCGCCCCAAGGCCCGCGCTGGGCCCCAGTCCCCATATCCCGAACCCTATCCCGATCCCGCCTCGCCCGCTCTTCCCGGCCGGGTCCCGCCCACCGCCGCAGCGCAGCCAACGGCGAGCGCCGAACGCGCTGAGTGACAGGCGCCGACGGCCAACGAGCGCGTGCCTTGTTGCGGGGTGGCGGAGGCTCCGGCGCTATAAAGGCGACCACGCGTAAAGAAGCACGGGCACGAGTACGTGTCTGAGGGGGAGGCGGCGGTGGCGGCGCGGCCGGAGCGGAGCAGCCGCGGGCAGCGCGATCGGCTCTAGCGCCGGGGCGCTTTTAATCGGACTCCGGACGGCCCGGGTTTTATCGGGAGCGGGTTTTAAAGTGAGTACCGAGCGGGATGGCGGCGGCGGAAAGGGGGAGGGGTGTGAGCGGACCGGATCAGACCGGCCCGGCCGGGGAGGAGCCGCCGCGCTGACCCGCGCTCGTCTCTCGCAGGAGCCTCTCGTCCCTCTCCCTCAGCGGACGGGGCACCATGTCCGAAGCGGAGCAGCAGCTGGCGGCCGGCGCCACCCAGAACGGGCACGAAGCGGCCGAGAGCGCCGGAGAACAGCAGGCCGAGAGCGGCGCGGCCCCGGCAGCAGCAGCAGCGGCGGCGGGGGCAGCGGGAGCGGCATCGGCAGCGGCGGCGGCGGGAGCCGGGCCGGCGGCGGGCGCAGCGGGCACGGCGGGCACGGCCGCCAGCCAGAACGGGGCCGAGGGCGACCAGATCAACGCCAGCAAGAACGAGGAGGACGCGGGGTAAGCGCGGGCGCCGTGCGCGGCCCGGCGGGCCCGGCAGCGCCCCCGGCCCCGCGGGGAGGGCGGCGGGAGCGGCCCCGCCGAGCCGGGGCCCTGCAGCACCAGCGCTTCCTTTGTTCTGGCGTTGCCTTTTGTTGGCGCCATGTGGCGGCTGGGGGAGGGGCGCCGAGCGGGCCTAGTGCCGTCTCACTCTGTAAAATGGGAGGGGATTTTCCTCTCCCGCGTTTTTCCTCAGCCTTTTCCTCCCGAGCGAAAGGGGTGGATGGAAGGAGTTGCTTTGTGTTGCAGGGGGGGCTGGTTGAAACTTTCTGGGGATCGCATGACCGGCGTCGATGTAAATGCGAACGTGTTTTGTGTAACGCGCATAAAAAAAATAATCCTGGCTTTGGAAGGCGGTCGGGGTAAGCCAAGTATTTTATAAAAGAAGTAAAGGGAAAACGGGGACGATGGAGACGGTGCGCGGTGTGTTCAAACCAGTAAGAGCGATTTTGGTGTGCTACTTTGCAGCATTGTCAGAAAACGGCTTATGTCTTGCAAGTGATTTCTGGAGGAGTCAGAGTAGTTTCGCTGTGTTTTGGTCGAGGCATCCTTGTGTACAAAAGAGGAATTTCTTTCCTGTCATAGTTTGTCTGTTTGTAAATATACGTACTTGACTTGCAGAGGACCTGCCTGTTTTCTCAGGCGGGTCTTTGTCATTCAGGCTACCCTACGTATTTAATTGGAACTCCCTTTGTTATCACCGAGCCCTGGACCAGAGGGTCAGATCCCTCAGGTCAAACAGAGAGCTGAAGCCAGTGTAATAGGTTTTGGCTGTAAAGGAACGAATAAGACTTGCACAAGCTTCCTACAAGCTGGGGCCGGATGTACCTTTTGCAGACATTAGAAGAATTAAAAACCAGGCCTTCCAGCCGCGTGTGAATTTTCCTTTTACTGTTTTTAGTGTTTTGCGCTGAAAAGAGGGTGATGCTCTTCCTTTCCTGCACAGGAGGTGACAAGTTTCAACCCCAAATCCGTATGAAATGAAACTTCCAAGAAAACCAGTTATTTTAGAGGGATTGATTGGCCTGTGTGGAAAATGTAGTGCTGTGTTAAAACAAGAGCTGTCCAAGCCACTGACATTAGAATGTTCTGTTAAGAGCTGAAACAAGCTTCGATTTAGCTGCAGCAATTCTCTCAGGAGGGGAAAAAAAAAATATGTGTTAAGGGTGCAGTTGTACAGTTTGTGGCCTCTGAAGGCAATCCCAAATACCAGGAATTTGGTCATAGTTTCAAAGGCTCTATATTGTGTTACTTAAATACGTGTAGGTATCGGTCTTTCAAGTTACAAAACAAAGCACTGCAAATTGCAGAGTGTGATGTGTACTGCTGTGGTAAGAGGTGAATTGAGCGTGTGGCAATGCCTGTGTGTGCACCACAGCCCCAACCCGATGGCATAAAGCAGCTAAAGCTACCTCTGGACAAATCCTGTCATCCCCCAGCTACCGAGTTACTCTTGATCTAAGTGTAGTCAGTGATGCCGGGGTGCGCTGTGGAGAGCTGCTGTGAGTCTCTTCGGGTTATAGCTCGGTCAGGGAGCTGTGAGGGGAAGGAATCCACCGAGTGACCGTCCTTTAACCTGGTATTGAAAGGCTTAGTAAACTTTGTAAGGCTCTGCTCTAGCGGCTGCAGGACCCTGTACATCCTGCTGCAACCACCAGCTAAGAGTGCACAGCAGGTTTTTCTGGAAAACACAAGGGTTTAGCCTGCAAAGGATAAACCAGATTTCATCCAGGTTAAGAAAAAAGGGCAAAACCCCTATAACACCTTTTTTTTTCCTACTTTTTTTTTTTGAATATAAATGGATAGCAGTTCTAGCAAATCAAAGTTACACATAAGCCCCCAAAGCCAATTTTACTTAGGCATAGTCTAGTTTTTAAAGTGCTGATACCTCCTAGTGCCAAATCTAGGTTGCCTCTAAACAGTGTAATGACAACTTAAACTGCTTCAGTCTATAGTTAGATAGAAAGGCTCAAACGCTTTTAAAAGCTTAGTTTGTTACCTTGGAAACTCTGAAAATAGAAAATACAGCCGTGTTATTAATGTTTTCATTTGAAGTGAAGCATTTGAAAAATGCCTTATTGCCTGATATCACTGTTTTTGTTTTTTAGCTGAACTTGTGTATTGTGTCTCACTAGAATTTAGTTCTTTGAGATGCATCTCCTTTTTCAGAGGATATTTTGTGTGGGAAAGTAGGCAGGGAAGGACTGTATTGGCCTTTTTGGAAGTAAAGGCTAATAGTGGAGAGGCTCCTGTAGTACTGATGAAGACAGAACTAGATTCAGTAACTAAGCAGGAAGAAGTGTACAACACAGTAGTTATGGCAGGTCCAAAGTCCCATCTCATGTATGTGACTGCTATTGGAGGTCATAGATACCTGGTTTAAATTTTGCAGATTGTTCCTAGGACTAAAATTTTTACAGCCATTGGACCAAAACCTTAAAGAGCTCATGTATTTTGCTTTTAATGCCTTACTCTTTGCTGGATGCTTTCAGAGCAGTAGGAATGATCCTGGATTCTTTGCAAAAACTGAGTTGGCAGTACCTGATAATCAATACTGCTTTTTTGCAAACAACCTAAGAGCATAAGTTAGTGGTGAGGAATATTTCAGGCAATTTGTGCTGTTTCTTATAGCCTGTAATCAACTTCAGGGTGCATTGTGGCATTTCCTCAAAAAGAGGGGGAGAAACCCACCCTTGTGCACTCCTGTAGTACCACCAGCTTTAGACAAGAGGCAAGTGTTTAACTTGGACCAGTCGGTCATGTTCTGACAATGCTGCTGAGGGGTGTGCCACTGAGCATCTTGCTGCATGGCCTTTGCTGTAGTCCTTCCTGAATCTAAATAGCTCTTCTCTTTGAAATTTCAGGAAGATGTTTGTTGGTGGCCTCAGTTGGGATACGAGCAAAAAAGACTTGAAAGATTACTTCACCAAATTTGGTGAAGTAACCGACTGCACGATAAAGATGGATCCTAACACAGGAAGATCCAGAGGCTTTGGATTTATTCTCTTCAAAGAACCTGGGAGTGTTGAAAAGGTGAATTTGAACTTCATGTTTTGGATCCTTAACTTTGAGGGGAAACTTTTCAGCTTGAATTAACCATACCAAACTGTCTTTCAGGTTCTGGAACAGAAAGAACACAGACTAGATGGCCGACTAATTGATCCCAAGAAGGCCATGGCAATGAAAAAGGATCCAGTGAAGAAAATATTTGTTGGTGGACTAAACCCAGAAGCCACAGAAGAGAAAATCAGGGAATACTTTGGAGAATTTGGAGAGGTGTGTAATGTTATCCTAGTAAACTCTGAAACATGTAGTCTCCAGTTGTTATTTAGTTTACTAATACTTTGGAAGTTTCAAAGTAAATTAACTTCAGATGTATCAAGGCTTCTGTAACTGATCCAGAGGTTTCCCACCTTGAGAGCAAAGGTGGCACATACTACACTAGATGCTTCCAGTGCTACTTGGATACCCTTGCCTTTAACTCAAAAGCATTTTTAGCTGATATTAAAATTGGTTTGAAGAGTTGTAAAATGGAAATCTCTGGTCTGAAGGCCAGTGTTAATATAGAAAGACTAATGCAGCTTTGGTGTTGCATAATATGCATAGAGAGGAAACTTAATAGTTTTACTGTCCCAAATGCCTTGTACTTAAAGTGTTCTGCTAAAATACAAGTCTGAAAATAGGATTTCATGTCTTCAGATTGAAGCAATTGAACTTCCAATGGATCCAAAGACCAACAAAAGGAGGGGGTTTGTGTTCATCACTTTCAAGGAAGAGGATCCAGTGAAGAAGGTTTTGGAGAAGAAATTCCATAACGTCAGTGGAAGCAAGGTAGAAACTTTGACTTACAACTTTTTGTCCAAGTTACTAAGCATAATACCACTACATCTGTAACCTGGAAAGGTTTTTGCAGACCTCTTGTGTCAAGGTACTAAATTTACAATAAGGACAGCTTTCAGTTTACGCTGCTGTTGTTTTGCCATAAGTTCAGTCACAGATTCTTTGCCAATATTTATGGCTTTAATAATTGCTGTGTTCTAGGGCCTTTTGTATGCAAAGTATCTAAGTGCATTCGTTACAAACACATGGAGAAACTGGCTTGTGTAGCAGTATAGGCCTTATCTGTTGATGTGGCTTATTTTCAGCATAGAGCCCTTGCATAAATGTAAGCCTTAGAGACACTAACTTTGTAAGCAGCTGGCTGAAACTGGCTCTGCCTGGCTGGGGGCAACTTCTGGTTTCTTCTCTCAGAAGCCCCTTCCTGCAGCCCCCCTGCTACCAAACCCTTGTCATGTCAACCCACTACAAGGATCCAGAGAGCAAATGTAAACTTTATGGCAACTTGTACCTGGTCAGCTGGTTGTGGGAACTATTGTAAGAGTGGTGTGAGATGCTCTGAACAGCTCACTGCTCCTCTGAGGGAACAGCTAATAGAGGCTTATGCCTCAAGCTGATAAGGAGAGGACTGGAGGCAAAGGATGTGTACTGGCTGGAGGTGTCCCTCTTCCTTTGCTCTGAGGCCAGTGCTGTCCATACACATAATTTCAAAGCCCTGTTACATTTGGTCATACTGTCTGGCACAGTGACTTAGATTGCACTTAGACTGGTTTTGACACAGCACAAAATAAGCTTTGGCAAATGTAATGCATTGATCAAGTCTGTTTTCAGGAGAGATGAATATCTACATGCCAAGGAAGCTGAGAAATTTCTGTATCTCCTAACTATGGCTTGTGTGTCATAGTGATAATAAAAAACAGGTTACCTTAAAGGTCCTGTGGTGAAGAACTCCAGGCCAGACTTGCTCAGGTGCTGTTGTTCCTTTTGCAGCAGCAGTAGCTTTCATCTTGGATTGTGCACAGATTTAGGAACCAGGCAGCTGACTGACAGCTTGAGCTGCAGCCTGGGAACCTGCCTTGGAAATGTCAATTCTGGTTAGTTTTTTTTAGCTGTTAGTATTTGATAAGTGATGATTTTAGTGTTGGTAGGGGTACTGTACAGTCCAACCACATGCACAGGAATAGGGTGGGCAAAGGCTGCCCTCTCACCTGGCACAACCTCCAAGACAAGGCTGTTGCTATCAGACTTCACCTGAGCTGCAGTGAATGAACAAGGCTCAGAGTCTTCCTGGCAGCCTACAGGAGTGGTGGCATCAGCACCTCTTCCATGGGGAGACTGATGGTAGGAATAGGCAGAATAAAATACTCTTAAAGCAGTGGCCTCTCGGAAGGGCTGACAGTGACTTACCTTTGCCCAGGTGGCACAGTAAATGAGACACTTCTGCATTAGTGCTGCTCACCTGGCAGGAGCACAGCGTGTCCACCTCCTTTGCCTCCAGAGGAACCTCTGGATTTCCCAGGAGCTCAGGGTGGGTGCTGCTGCTCTAAGACACCTTACATACTCTTCCTTTTTTATTTTCAGTGCGAGATTAAGGTAGCACAGCCAAAAGAAGTGTACCAGCAGCAACAGTTCAGCAGTGGCGGGGGAAGAGGTAGCTATGGAGGAAGAGGCAGAGGTGGAAGAGGCGGCGGTAAGTACCACACACACTACTTTAGTATGGACACATTCTAAATAAGTTGTGTGTACTAAAATGGGATTTTGTGGATGGTTTTCCCTTCTATAGCTCAAAGTCAAAATTGGAATCAAGGTTATGGCAATTACTGGAACCAGGGTTATGGGAATCAAGGATACGGCTATCAGCAAGGTTATGGTGGCTATGGAGGCTATGATTATTCAGGATATGGGTATTATGGATATGGACCAGGCTATGATTACAGTAAGTAAAGAGAACTGTATTGGGTATAAGCAAACGTAACTAATTAGCAGTTTAATGCATTTGTTCTCTTGTTCATAGGTCAAGGCAGTGCAAATTATGGGAAGACACCAAGACGTGGTGGTCATCAGAATAACTACAAGCCATATTGATCAAACTTATTCAGGTATGCAGTGGCATGGTCTCTTTTGGAAAATGACTGCATAGGTTTTGTATACAATGCTGTAGATGGATACTTCAGTTCTGTACCAAATTTAACTTTACAATAAATTTCTATGGCCTGTTAAATGTGCATCTTACTTGGAAGAGCTCCCTGGAAATGTTTTACATGTTTAATACTTACAGATAACTAGTTGTCTAGACAGTGTGGTGTGTAAATTTCAGCATTGCTGAAGATATTAATTAATGATTTTATTAATAGGTTAAACTGAAACTGATTTTGAGGGTCTGCTTAAAGCTGCAGCTCTGCATCTAGGGACTGCCTCTTGGAGTTAACTATGGACTCTGCATTACTCCAGTTGTACAGAATGAGATGCATCTTAGGGAACCAGTGTCACTTTCCACCTTTTTATTTTGTATTGTTTTTGTGTCATACATTTCCTGTAATGGAAGTGTTAATTTTACTGTACTTTTTGGTACCTTTTTGGAATCTAATGTATTGTAAGGTATTTTACATGTGTTCTGATTCACCATGACATGGATATTGAAGCTATCCTAGCTTTTGAAATAAAAAAGGCGTAATCTAGTGTCTTGTGCCATTCTTCAGCTTATGTGTTAGTAAAACGCCAGTTCCTGTTCCCAGAACTTAGCTCATGGCAGTACCTTGATAGATGAAGAGTTGTGCTTAATGTTGTTAATCTTGAAACTAGAAAGAAGGCTGTGTTGGTAGTTGTGCTCACTTGCAGTTAAGTGGCAGCTGAAGCCTGCAGTCGCTTCTGCCTGGAGGTTGTGGAGGAGAGCTGAGGTGAGGAGCCCCAGCTGTTGAGGCTGTGCTGGTGAGCTGGTGGCTCTGCCCTAGGCAAGCACAGGGGCTCAGTGTAACTGTGTTGGTGTCTGCATTGGGCTCTGCTTGGAGGAGCCAGAGGTGTAGGTCTCAGGTAGGGCTTGGGAGCCTGGACAGCATTGCAGGAGGATGCCAAGAGGTGTGGAAGAAGCTGGGCTGCACTTCCTTCATGTGTCACTGTCTCGAGTCTGAGGCTTGTCTACAAGTTGCTAATAGTATGTATATACCTGCCTTGAGAGGCAGGTTGGACAGACGTTAAATTACCAATGCAAGGTTGAATTTTTGAAGCCTTTTTGTGTATCAGAAAAGGCTAAAAGAACTTCCACTACAGTTGTGGGTGGAAAAAAAAATCTCTTTCTCTAGAGATGAGTGACCAGCTAGAAATAAGCTTTCCTTTTTTGACTAGTTCACTATTTTAAGGCAATACTTGTCATGTGATTTGCCTGTCTTGTTGTAGAATAGTCCCAGACTCAGATTTATAAATAAGTAGCAAGCTCTGCTGCACAAAGTAAACTTCTAATATTTGTTGCAGTGATTAATTTGGGTTTTTTTCCTTTTAAAGATAAAACGGGACAATTTTTTTTCCCCTTGTAATAAATTCTCTTTGAAGCCCAGAATTGGAATCAAACCAAGTAACTAAGACAAGAAATAAACAGATGTTACTAGTGACCTTTTCAGGTTTTTTAGCAAGGGATGCAGCTATTTCTGCAGGGACTATAATCTGCTGCTCCCTGCTGGCTGTCCTTGAAAAGAAAAACTTGCTTGTAAAGTTAGAATCTCTCTGTAAGACTCTTACCGGGTTAAGTGGAAATCTTGAGCATTAAAAAAAAATGAATCAGATTTTAAATGTGATAGTTGAGAACTGTACAGCTTGACCTGTAACTTCAATCCCAACTTACTTCCAAAAAAAAAAAAATTTGCAGACCACTGAAAGAAATGAGTACAGTATTTAAAAGTATTACTGTCTCAAGATGTAAAATTTCAGTGCTTTACTCTATTGCATACTTTTACTGGTTTTCCTGTGAAATAAGGGGTAGCAGAATATTTTTCTAGCAATCACCTGGCCCTCCAGTGGGAGGTTTGCACAGTACCAGGATCATTCTGCTGCAGTCCTTCTGTGTCCTAGCAAGAGTTTGTCAGCTGGCTGTTACTGTGGTGGATTTTGGAAGTAGGTTCTCAGGTAATGCTTCCTTGACAGGTGATGAGGCCTTAGGCAGAATCTGATGACACTGGTACTTAAATGCAGAGCTGGCTTTTCCCTTTCTTCTTTGTATGAAAAGTTTATGATACAAAGAACATGTACTTGGCCTGGTGAAAGCAAAAGCATGTACACAAGGTTGTTGTTTATGGCTATAATCTAATCTTAAATTAACTAATCCTGCTCAGATACTTCTTGAGGACAGACTTTGTACGAACTGGTTTGGGAACAGTGGCTCTCAGCTGCCTGTTCCTCATGTATTTGATGTTAGGAATTTGGGACTGAAGTTTTTTGACCTAATCTGGTTTCTGAGACTGTTGAATATAGTGCTACCAGGGACCTTGTTATGACACTGGTGGCTGAAACTGGTCAGGAGAGCCTGGGAAGGACTGGGTGTACTGGCAGCTAGACTGGTGTTTGCATAGGCAGCTGGAGGTGTAAATGAATGAGGGAACCCCTTGGGTCATCCTAACCTGAAAGAGCATGAATTTAGAAATTGTAGTTTATAGTAGCCATTAGAAAGATACTCCTTTATAATCAGTTTTAGATACAACTGCTTTAAATAAAAGGCAATTCCACACTGCCAGAATTGAGACAAGCTCTTGTAAAATTTATTTCTCCTAAAGATTTTACTAAAAACAAGATAACTGAAAATAACAAAATCAAAGGTGACTTATCTGATCTAAGACATGCTAGGATGAAGATTAAATGTGCATTATTATAGTAGAATAATGTTTCTTAGTAGTAGATCTTGAACATTGTTTGAAACCTATGGAAAGAAAATAATGTTATGTTTTTTTGTAAAAGTATCATTAAAAGAAATCTACTTCATTGCCTCATTTTCACTTACATTATATGTAAGTGTCTTACTAGTACTGTACTTAGTAAGAGCCTTTTTGCATTCTTGGTTTCCTGTAGAGAATAAAAGCATTTTTCTTGCTTAGTTTAGATTACAGACAAGCACATTAAGTCATTAGGCCTCTAAGTTACACTGGCACTGTTAAGTAATCTTTCTGTTCCTAAGAATAAGTAGTACAAACAGCTGTATGTCTTTCCATTAACTTGCTAAATAAAATATTAACACATTTTTCTTGTGCCTGCTATACTAATATTACACTGCACAAAAAGCACATTTCTCCTTAGCTCAGGGCTGTAGCACTGTGAACCTCATGGTGGTTGAGACCACCAATGATCACAATGATCACATCAGGTACATTCCTGTCTGCTGTCTAGAGTTTTACTAAACATGGGGTTGTCTTTTAGTCTGAGTAGGTTGAACAAGTACTAAATGGTCCAAAGGGTGTTGTTATCAAGGTGTAACTCTAAGTGTACACTGTGCTCATGAGTGTGTGGCAAACTTAAGTTGCAGATAGATGTTCTCTCTCAGCAACCTATGGAGGGACCTCAACAGATGAAGACTTAGGAGGCTTTAAAGACTTAACAGGACTCAGTCTTCCTCTGGTGCCCCCAAACCTCTGACTGTAGGGGTAAATCGATGCTTAAGCCTGAGATACCATCCATGAACCTGAAATGATCCCAACAAGTAGGGAAAAATGCTCAAGGGAACAGAAGGCAATAATATTTCCAAGTCAGATGTTAAGTAAAACACAAAAGCACCACTTACAGCTCTTCACAAAGCTGTTAGCATAAGTGGAGGATCCCAAATTGTGAGATGCAGATGCCCTGACTGGCAGGCAAGGGGAGATCTGCTGAGAGGTACTTATGCAGCTGGACCAGCTTCTGTCTGGAGATAATGGCACTGAGCATAGAGGCTCTGTGTTTGTGTTGGTGTGCATGTCGTTTGCATGCCAAGGGTTAAACCAGTCACTCTGAAAGCTTCCCAGACCAGCACAGCATGCTGTGGTGGTAGTCATGTCTGGGACATGTTGGACCTGGCTTAGAAGCAAATGAGCACACACACTGTTACTGGGAGTGTCAGCCTCTGATAGAAAGGAACTGTGAATGCCAGATGTGCACAAGTCTGGGCCATGCCATGAGATTGCCTGACATTCCTGCAAACTAACTTCAAGTAAAAGCACCTCCGAGGAGGCTTTACTCTGACAATGCTTGTGAAGTTATGTATAGGAACCTTGGCTTTTAAATAGTACTGTGTGACTAGAGATAAATACCTGCTCAGGTAGAACAAGTAGATGTTTTCTGTTGGTTCAGACATCCTTTTTCCATATCTGGAGAGAGAATAAGCAACAATTTAGCAAAGTCACGACTTTGAGACAAGGTTTTGTACTAACTTTGTTAGTGCTAAGTGTATAGAAATTGTATAAAAAGCTAAGTGGCAAATGCACACAGATTATGGCTTTTGAGAATATCTGGACAGTTTTTACCAGCTGCCCTTGTTCAGATAGGTAAACTCTTAAACCTCAGCCAGAGCAAAGCTGTTTTAAAAGGCATGTGCTGCATCTGTGGAGGAAACAGTTTTGTTAGAAAACTTCAAAACAGTAATTTAGAAGGGAAGGCTCACCATCTGCCATCTTGGCTGTATTGTAGCCTATTTTGCCTTTGAGGCAGTTCAACAACCACCCTCTATTTTTGAGGGTTTTGATCAGTTCTACCTGTTAGTATCTTGTCCATTGTTTCCACAACAAATTTTGCATCCTCCATATTGAAGCACATTGGGGGCTTGAATTTCAGCACATTTCTTCCTGGTCCATCTGTACTCAGTAGAATATATTCTTCCTTAAGTCTGGAAAGAGCAATAACAAAGAATCATTTTTACCTTTGCATGTAGTTCAGAAGAACTTGCAAGCTCCAGCACGGAGGCTGTCACACAGTGCCTTTCCCCACTGACTGGTTTCTTTTTTGGCCAGATTGTTGTATTGTAGTTTGTAGTTGTGTCCTTGCCTCCCACACTGAGGAACTCCATGACTGTCCCATGTACCTTGTTATCAGATACTCTGCTTCTGCTGGGGCTGGGGTCCTTTCTGCTTGGTCCTTGATCAAGTCCACT